GCTTTCATTCCTGTTGGGAGAGGCTGCGTTCTTTTTAATATGGGAGTGTAACAAGGTCATTCAATTCCTTTTTGCTTAGCCCATATGATGTGGGAATTGTTTGATTTAGTGATGTTCCTTTGGATCCCAGGTGTGTATCCAACTTACTCCCAGAATAACATTAGCTGGTAGATGCTGTCAGTTGCGGGAAGGGAACTGTAACCTCAAACACCGGGAGAGCCCAAGGGGAGCACCGTGAAGACTGTCAGTGTCCCTTGGTCTCCATGTGAGGGTTTCCTTGCTACTGGAGGCGGCTGGTGAGTACTGGAGGCCGCTGTTGTATTTATATGCCGCACTCCTGAGCATCGTTGTTAGAGTCAGCAGTTACAGCTGCCGTATCATCAGCTGATCTGCTGATAAGGCAACAACGAAAGCCTTGGCATCGGCGGGCTTGCAGTCATCTCCAGATGTTCTCTTCCCCTTTTCAGATGATTGCTGTAAGCCAGCTGCCCGGCTCTACGCACTGCGGAACTTGCCACGTTGAGGGTGCCCCTGATTTTGGAGCAGCTAAATCTGTTCCCCAAAAAAGAAAAAGGGAGGGAAGGCTCATCGTTTGCACCGATCTCTGATCCAAGAGTAACTTTGCTTTGTCTTGTACTGGCAGATTGTGGCAGGAGGAAGGAAGTAAAGAGTAAGGAACTTGTAGCTGAGTTTGTTTCCCAGCCAAACCACAGGGAGAGGTGTGGAAGCGGCTGTGTGCCTGGGTGTAGCGACCCTGTTTCGCAAGGATACTCCTCTTCTCCTCCTCCTCCTCCTCCCTTCTGTACAAATACCACATGCCAGTTTGCCTGGGCTTCTCTACCTGGAAATACGTGTAATCCAGAAGATTTGGAAACATGGCAGGAGTACAAGGCCATTAAAACTTGAGCTCTTGTCTTTCGCAGTCAGTTGTAGGTGTTAATGTGGGAATTGGTGCCTAATGCCGCTCTCAAGAGGTGGCAGAAGCCCCCCTCAGTACTCAGGCGCTCTGGTTTCTGCTCTTCTGCTTCCCTCAGCACCAAAGGTTTCTCTGCCCCCTTGTTTTTCTAGTTTTGAGTGCCTCCAGTATTGTTTGGGTTGGGTTTTTGTTTTCAGCTCTGAAGTAGCCAAGATAGGAGAGATACTTGTCCTCACTGATTTTTTTTTTTTAATTTATTTTCTGTTCTCTCCCTTCTTTGATTCATCAAGTATTTTTTTACTATCACTGTCTTTCCTCCTCCTCTTCCCTCCCCCCCATCTTTCCTGCTTCTCTCTTGCCTCTGTTACCTTACGTTCCCATTCTAGGCTGGCTCCCCCATGCACCTCCATCTGTCAGGGCCTGGGCTACACATGCCTGTCCCCCAGGGAAGCATCCCCTTGCAGCAATACCTGACCTGCTGTGGTCACCTAACGGGACTGAATGAATCCTAGAATCGTTAGGTTGGAGTAGACCTCTGAGGTCATCAAGCCCAGCCGTTGACGTGCCACCACCATGCCCACCAAACCGTGTCTGCAAGTGAAGTGCTCCTCCAGCTCTCTCTGGCAGGCGGCGGTAGGGTACGTGCCCCTTCCCTGGTTCTCTCCAGGGCTTGTTCTCTTGTGAGCCTGGCAGAGGTGAACGGCTCTCCTGGTGTGTCATCGGGGACGGATCTTCCTGGCGGGCTTCAGCTCAGTGCAGCTGAGAGTCTGCAATAAACCTGTGCCACAGCTGACCCCAGCTCGCGTTGGTTCTCACTCGATTTTCAGAGATCAGTCATACACCAACTGATTTACTAAGTGCCACTTATGCATGTTTTTTTTAATAGGTATATATATACACTTACGGGAGCGGGTGTGTGCGCCTGCGCTCAGGTACGTGTGTGTCTTGTCTGTCTCAGCCTGCTATGAACGGTAAGGTTCCTTCTCAGAATCAGAAAGTGGTTTATATCTTAATCACAGCTGAGATGGGAGTTGACATTTTTCGATCCTATAACTGGCGACGTTTAATAGGTTTCCTTTCTAGATACAGCTGTGTCCTTCCCAGGAAGGTGGTTGGTTGGCTGTTGTCTGTACACAACTAGCGGGATTCTGACTTTAAAAGTATTTATATTGAGATTTCTAGCCAGAAAGCGTTTTTTTGGTCACTTTAAGTCAGCTCAGTTCGATTTAGAATCAGGGTTCTGTACTCCTGATAAAAGCAGGATTAAAAAAAAAGAAAGAAAGAAAGAAAAAGACAACTTTAAAGAAGAAAAAAAAAGTAGCTGTAATAATCAAAACTGACAGGTTGAAATGTGTGCTGGAAAGCAGGTAGCCTGAATAGATGTAGACTAACACAGCCGGAGAAGATGGATCGCTTTGTGCTGGCCTGACGGTGACATTCCATCTCTGTTTTAGCTGCTGGCTGATGAGTTCAGCTCGTGCGTTCTGTGAACGTGACGCTGGTTGCGCACGGAGCACGATCAGCAGCCGAGGAGGATTGCGGCTGGCCTGTCCCGGGCAGCTCTCAGGGTCGAACAGAAACAGGGTGCGAAAGACTCGGACGCTAGAACGGCAGGAAGGTGTTTGTGGGCTTGAAATACCCCGTTTCTTGGTGGGAGGCTCCAGGGATATAGCCCAGGGCCGATGTTGCCAGCAAGAAGATGTGTTTTAAATGGCAATTCCCCGCTTTGCTAGCTGCTGCTCGTTTTCATCGAGGGTGATTTCATCAGCAAAGCATCACAGCTGCTTCTGAGTAAAACAGTGAGCTGCCTAAAGAGCTCCTCAGGCCAGGAACTGAAAACCAAAATAAAATCTCTCAATTAAAATAACGCGAGTCCATTGTGGAGACTGAATCTAACGAAGCCAAGGGGAATTTGGTCACGTTTCAGGCCCAAGTCAGTCTGGCTGAGTCCCATTTTCAAGAATGATTTATGCCATTGTTATCTGAATCTAATTGCCATATGGCAAATTTGGGCTTCTTCCAGTCGCCGGAGTACTTTCTCGAGAAGCCGTCTGCCCGCCTGCCTGACTCGGGTTTGCAGGGCTGGACGGAGCTGTGCCCAGAGGCCTTTAAAGACTTGCCGAATGTCTGCCTGCCTGCGGAGGTTTCTAGAAATCACACTGCGTGAGTGTGTGTGTGTGTGTGTGTGTGCGTGCTTGTTGCCACAGGAAAGCCCCGATAAACCACTGCTTGCTGCTTTGTGTCCTCGTTCTGCCGTGAAGGCAGGCCCCTACTACCTTACAAGCCTAAAAATGAAGCACAAATAGGGACGAAGGAAACCTTCCGCCTGATGCAATGAATTTCTCATGAGGTAGAAGGGAAGTGGGTTGTGAAGAGCTGCCTGGTTTAGAAAGAGGAAAACGCTGAAATGTTCAATAAGATCCTTTTTAATCTACTTTTCCACCTATTGGTGGTGACCTGTCATTCGGACCAAGGCTGCTCAGTTCGTGAGGTTAAAATTGGCTGAACTAAAGTGTATTTCTTTCACTTACAATGTTTGCCTTTATAGATAAGTAGTAAATGGTTTCATTTCTTATTTGGTAAATAGTCACATACTAGTTTGGTTTTTGATGTTGCTCTTTATTTGCCCTTAAAAGATACGTTAATAAATTACAAGCACCTAAAAATAGCAGAGATAGCAAGACCTGAGCCCCCAAGCGCAGTACAACACAGTCTAACGAGGTAAAAAAAAGAACATCCCCGGCAAAAGCTAAGAGTGTTGTAAATAAAACTTTGGGAATTGGCTCGTGGCCAGAGAACAGTCCGCCTGGGACAGCGTCACTCTGCGGTGTCACTCGTCCTGTTGTTGTTCAGGAGGTATCTCAGGCTTGGCAACAGTGTCTTCCCTTCGCCTCTGCTCCGTCCTGCTCACCGAGGCCAGCTCCTGTCTCGCGGAGCACCTCAGCGTGTCACGCGGTGCAGGACGTGTCCCTCCGTTTGGGTGCCCGTGACTTTAACGGTCAGAGGGATGCTGCAGGTCTGCCAGACCGAGAAGGCACAAAGGCAACAGAACTGCGGTTTTCCGAAGGAACCCTGGGCAGTTCCCGCTGGATTTGCACGCTGTCGCGTGGAGTCTGTGCCCGCGACGCTCGGAGAACACGAGGGGAGCGGTTAGAAGCTGGCAGAAGCTGAGCGGGGTGTTTCCGTTGCAAACATGGCAGCCGCAGTTGGCGAGAGGAGGTTTGTTGGCTGTGTCGTTTTATCGCCGCGTTCAAAGCTATCACCTGGGGTAACTAAAGCAAGATCCGCAGCGTCTGGCTGGCTAGCTTTCCCCCTCCCCCTCCCCAAAGTAACGGGGTCACTTAGGTTGACTCCTGCCTGCTCAGAAGTCATGAGGAGATTATTAGACTAAAGAAAAGTGTTTAATTAAACTTACAGAGTGCGCCCCAAACCTCCAACACCTCAGTGATTAACCTAAAAGTAAGTCTATAGTAACCGTAGTCTGGTGAGTAGCAGCAGCCATGCGGTCAGGATACACGCGGAGGAATGAGTCACACTGCAAAGGAGAGATGAGAGAGACTTTTTTTTCCCCTTTTCTTTTTTCATCTTCTTCACAGAGAAATCAGTGTCTGACTGACTCCCTGTTCAGTTACTGGGTCGGACCTCAGCTCTGTCGATCGCTGTGGCATCCAGGGGTCATGGCAGGTTACATCCGTGAAACCTTTGGTCTCGTGCCTGTATATTCATTTTACTGAAGGAACGTTAATAAACAGAATATAGGGAGCTGCTGATTTTACAAGTCAAAATCATGTTACAGACATGATCAAATTAATTGTTTCGTTAAGAGGTCTGGGAATAGCTGGTTGAAGATTAATTGACTCTAATGTTTCCAGCTGGGATTTTCAAAAGAGCGTAGGGGATTTCAATCTGCAAATCACACTGAGACTCAGGGACAGGCTTTGATTTCTCTGTTCCTGAGGGTCCTTCAGAAATCCCAACCTCAGGAGTTCGTAGAGGGAAAAGCAGTCAGCGATGGAAGAGGCCGGTAAGGACTACATGCTGATAGGAAAGCCGAACTGTTACGTGTATCAGGTAGCCAAGAGGTTCAGTTTTCCTGGGCAGCTGCCAGTCCAAACTGACATTGCCTCTCGTCTTTTAGCACGTGGCTTTGTGCTTCTAGGAACTTCTTCCTGCCGAGCGTGCAGGCGCAGGAGCCGTAGGGAGTTTCCACTGGCACCAGAACCTGAGGGGGACGAGCACAAACATAGAGGTCATTTCTGAGACAGGGATGGGCCGGCACCACCACGGCAGAAACGGCAGCTATTCACCTCCTCGGAAAACCACGCCCGGGCCCTTCCTTCCTCGTGAACATCAGTGGTAGATGTTGCTGTTACCTCAAGTGGAAGTGGAACTATAGTGTCCACCTGGCAGAGGGCAAGGGTGGGATAGGATGGCAGCAGAATCACAAGACTTGAGGAGGGAGACTAAAGTGTAAACAGACTGCAGAGCGTTGGTGCAAAACGGCAATAACCCGTTTGTCACGTGAGGACAACGCAACAGACTTCCAGCTGGACCTGGCTGTCAGCTGGAGCAGCTGTGGAGGGAGCAGCAAGTATATCTCCTCCCCTACATCCCTCACCCTCTGCCTGAGCCCAGGTTTAACACCTTGCCCGCTGTTGGACCAGTCTGCTTTGGCTCCTGATGGCTGCAGAAACATCCCTCCACCTCCCTTAGAGCGCTGGTCTCCCGTCACCGGGGGGTTAGCCGACCGCCCGGCGCGCCTGCGTGCAACCGCGCTGCACCACGGTGCTCCCTGGCCTCGGTGGTGCTGCTGGCGGAGCAGAAAGAAGAGCCGCGGCGGGCTGGCCTCTCGCGCTCCCGGGCTGTGTGGAAGGATGCCGTGACGCCTTCTGCTTGGGTGAAACGGCACGGGTCGGTGTTCGGGAATGATTTGTTGGGGTAGCCTCTGCTACAGACCCCTTTGATCCTCCGAGCGCTCCCTTTAGCTGTTACCAGAGAAGGTGATTATCCTTCTTCTGTAACCAGTGTAAATCTCCTTCAGAGCTAAGGTGGAGCTTTCACTGGGGCTGGGGGAGGTTTGTTCCCTCCCGCTCTGTTCTGTGCAGAACTGCTGCTGCGCTTTAAGGCTGAGGATTTTTAAAGAGCCCAGGCACGTCGTGTTTGGAGCATTTACTTACTTCTTTGTCGTTGGTCAAGCCTAGATTCTTCATGTCTACGACATTATAAAAAGTGTTGTTCAGGACGACTTCTATGACCTGTACCTGAAACCACGACAAGGGATGAGACAGTGAGTTCGGGCACCTTACCAGCCAACAGCCCGGCAGTCTTTTCACTCGCCGTAAAGAAAAGCAATGCCACCCCCCCGTACCCATAGGTGCAGTTGATCAAATGCAACCTATTGGACACAGGGACAACGTTGTAGCCCCCCCTTTCACTTCTACCGGTGTCCTGCCAAGCTCTGGGTGATGTTCTCCCCCACTGCGTTCGCAGCTGGGGAGCAGCATACGACCTTCTCGGTGTGTTCGTGCTGTTCTCAGACCGCCTCGCTGGACCACCGAACAGTTTCCAGCCTTACTTAGTAACGCCCAGAGGAAATAATCGGCTCATTTTGATCTCCTCAGGGGTCCGATTAACATTCACTATGGTTGAAGTAAAACAGCAGCAGGAGGAAAGAAGGTACCTGTGACACTTTGGAAAGGACGAACATCTGGATATTGTTGACAGTTTTCTGGTAAGAGGGCGAATACTCCCCGCAGTCGGGTGGCCCAGAAAAGGCTTCAAGGATACATTCGCGGATTTTGTTCCTAGAAGTAACACAGGTTCTTACAAAACCTTGTATCAGCTGTCTCTGTCTAGATCTGTGCTATTTTACCGTGGGGTTTATGTTTGCATTTTCTGTCTTTTCCCACAAATACAGAGCACATGGGACTTTATGGAAGAGCAATTTATAATATACACATGTTAAATAAGTATTTAACAAACTGGTTGTTAGTTTCTTTTCCTACAGTGTTCTGTACCCAACACTGAACTGGCCACTTAAATACCGTCTGGGGGTGCACCGTCAGAGAGAGGAGCACCCTGCGGCGTGCCCCCCGCCCCCCAACCCAGCAAGGGCTTAGCTGTGAGAGCGGCCAGTGCTCAGCAACTGCAGATCTGGCCCTTACACCCCCTGCATTGTACAGAGGGACTTTGGGATCATCGATTAGGTGATAAATATCATTTGATTTGATGTGTACCATATGCAGTCAAAGTCCAAATCCTTGCACTCGCCGTATGACCACTTGCAGAAGAGCTCTCCGCATAAAATCCTGTCGTGCCTTTCGGGAAGCGTGGTGTATTCGTTCTTAAAGAAGCCTTCAAATCCAGACTGCGTCGTCTTCATAAGTTTCAGATCTTTAATTCCAGCAAAAACAACCAGAGGACCTGCGATCCAAAAACAGGGGACAATATGAGCTCCTCCTCAGGCAGAGAGGAGGAAACCTGTGGGGGTGTACTTGCAGTGACCGCTCCAGAGCCGTGACGTGGTCTCTCCGGGACTCGCTCGTGTGCCTCTGTTGCAGGCCTAGCTACTTTCAAAAACTATCTTCTGTGCGCTGCAGAAAGGCGGGAAATGCGACAGGAAGTACCGAAATCTGAGCTTCATCTAGAAAACAGAGGATCCCATCACGGGGAGCCGAGGACACCCTTTGTCTCGTCTCCCTGGAGCTAGGACGCGCGTGGGGTTGGCCCTCACGGATGTCAGTTCAGGGACTACTCCAGAGGGAAGGGTGCGGAGGAGAGGTGTGGGGAGCCTTTCGGAACGACACAGGCGAGTGTAGAAACTCTCTGTACAAAGACTTGGAGCCTGAGTCAGAAATTTGCTTTACATACCCGGCCTGTTGGGAGTTCTGAGAAGGAAAGGGCGAGGAGCCAACGCAAATCCCCGCAGTTCAGCTAATTAGCAGGAACTGGCACTGCTACAGATGCCGCCCACGGGTTCCAACTGACACTGGGTTTGCTCTTGGCCACTATTTATAAAACGTGCTGTCGTAGATCACGGCTGCATGGGTGGATTCCCATCTCCTAAAGACCAAACAGCTGCATCCTGAACTGTCGTCTTCTGACAAAACCTTTTGGCTAACCGATTTCAAGCGCTCAGTCACTTAGAGCACTCTGAAAACGGAAAATTTCACGGACCAGAGCTGCCGAAAAAGCAGATTCAGAAAAGAGAAATGTTATGGCACGCGGGCTCGCTCAGAGCCCGTACAGACAGCCCATGGCTGAAGCCCCAGCTGCTGTTTCTGTGCTGCTCTCGGGGCTCACACCAGCTAGTTCAAAGTGAATCCTTGACTACATCTGGTGCGTAGCAATCCTGCCTTGGACTGGGAAGACTGACAGACTTTGTCTTTAAACCGTGTCTTTGCAGGAATTTATACTGGAAGTAATTCCACTGCGATGGGTATTTCAAACTGAGATGATTGTTTAGAGGTTTGGCTTTTTTAAAGTGGTGTGTCACTGGAAATGATCAAAACTGCATATTTCTTCTCTTGTTTACATTCACTATTGTTTTTGAATGAGTCCAAGGAGGTGTATCTATAATTTTGGCTACATCCACCCGTTATTTACTAAAGCTTTAAAAAAATAATCTAAAGAAGAGACTGTCCTTAGAGAGGATATTCTGGATTTTGTTCAGGTCTTGAATTCCTCGCTCGGGTATAAGATAACCCACCTGAAACTGGCCCTGAGGAGCAGAATGCCTGGGCACGGTTTTCGAGGTGAACAGCCCATGCTGTGCATTCAGTACGTTTTGTGCTCGTGCTGGCTTCAGTTGTCAGATGTTGACTCTGTTCAGTTACGTACAATGTTTTCAGTTTCCAAAAAAACTCTGAGCCTTTTATCGGCCGATATAATAGCAAAAAGTAAGCCTATAATTCTATTAAGCCTCGCTAGCTTTCTTTTAATGATGAGAAAAGTGTTAAAAAGATAGGATTAACTGAGAAATAAATTTCTGTGTGTGGCTGCTAGGTGCATAGGAAGATGCTAAAGATAGAGAAGGTTCTCTTACAAGAAAAGTAAAAGGGATTTGAAAATCTTCTCTTTGGTTATTGTTCGGCTAGGCAGGGAATCCTAAAGAAACAGCTGAAGGGCTGCAAGGGAGGATGAAGGAGGAAAGGAAGTTTCTTCTGTAACCCTTAAAGCTTTGTGTTTGTGTAGAACCTGAAATTGCCGCATTTCATGCTGAATTTTCAAGGTGATGAAAAATTCAATTCAGTCTGTACATTAACAGCAGCAGCTTTTCAAGACAGCATAACCTCTTGTTCTCTGTTTTTTTGTATTTAGGTTTCTTTCTTACCACTTTCCAGAAACCAAAGTCAATACTATTGAGGCTGCCAAAAATACAGCAGGAGCGACCGTTCCTAGGAACACTAAAAGAGATTAGGCCGAGGGGCGCTGGAGACTTGCGTGGGCTCCCTCTTGTCTTTCGGCGGGGACACGGGGACGATGCTCAAAGGCGCCTGTCGGAACTTGTGTCCTGTCCGCAAGTGACAGTGGTCTTGTCACTGGTCCTAACCCCGACCCGTTAGGAAAACAGGGAGAGAGGGCAGGATGGGAAATAGTTCTCAGCTGCATTAGGGCAGTAACAGATACCAAACTGACGCCTAAAACCCGCTGCGTGAAACGCTGTGGTGGTCTCAGCTCAGCTCCCAGCAGTCTGAGAGGGGTTAAATGAAACACCAACACAGGGAGCTTGAACTCTCCCTCTTGCTGTGAGTCAGGGCAAGAAGAGCTTCACACTCCCTTTGGAATGCCAATTTACACACAGATGTTGAAAGCCTTTGTCTTTTAAGTATCACAGATCTCTTAGTAAAGGCAAAAGAAAAGGTGTTTTGTTTACGCACCGGTGTGCAAAAATAGTAAGCCCACTCTGAGGCATTTCCATGTGAAAAATGGTTTGCACATAGACCCGGAGTGCTCACAACATTCAAGCCAGCCTGGCTTGGAGCAATGAAATTGCATCTTTCTTAGAAATAAGACCAAGGCACGTCGATGGGGTTTTGAAAACGACTGCAAACTAGGAACCGGCCTACAGCAGCGTGGTTTCACGGTACGTTCTCCATAGGGTAATGGTAGTGGTGAGACTGCAGGATATAGCACAGTGTGAAAAAGCAAGCAGACCGTTCCCGGGCGGCTGTTGAACCCCGTGACAACATCCAGCGGTTCTGCTGTTGTAGCCGTTCTGTGTTTAGGATATACCTAACGAACGGGAGCTACGTTAGTTCTCCAGCCATGCCTCAGAGATCAAGGACTGCCAAATCGGACTCTAAAAGTATCCTGGTAGACCTCTGGAGCGGTTTGGCTGCGCTGTAAGCCCCGTAGCACCTTTAGCTGTGTCTAAAGCCATCTTCATCCCTCACCGGCGGAAATATTTACGGAGAAGTAGGGGGAGTTGCAAGTTCTTTGCTCACCGTTTCGGCACTGCTCAGCTTCGCAAAAGCGGATCCCATCAGGAACGCAAATGAATGCGTGGACGTGGGGAACGCCGTTCTGCAACGGAGAGCGGGCATGTAAGTAAAAGCGCAGCAACCACTGTCCGGACTTGAAAAGGGGAGCTGAGAGAGTGACAAACGGCCCCAGCATACCCAAACTGAATGTGTTCGTGTCATACGTACCTCGTGTAGACGTTGCCATGGTACTTCTTGAACGTAGGTTTTGACGTACGCCACTTGGCAAAATGTCATGAAGTATTTGCAGATGTCTATAGCAAATTGTTCTAAAGTTGGGATCTAAGATGGCAAAGAGTATTATTAGAAAGAAGCAATTACCTCACGTACAGAAGTAGATCGTTCTGGTTGCTGTGACTATTTGGGAAGGATCAGCGTGGTTAAAAATACGGATTTCTCTCATTTCTGGTTTTGCACACCGTGCCCACTCGTTTGACCAGCTTTGCAGCACGCGCTGCAAATAGCAGCTACAGAGCCACGTCAGAAATCTCCCATGCGGCGGTGCAGCGAGCTGCAGTCCTTGGGCTGAGGGAGGCTGCTACAGAAGCCTCACGCTCCGAGGATGTAATGCTGAAATAATCATAGTGATATTCTGATTAAGCTTTAGAGGCTAAAAATGGGATTTCATTACCGAGACAGACAATTTACGCTACAGATTGTCATTATGATAGATGCAGTTGGGGGAGGTAGGAGCACCGCTAACAGAATTAAGAGGAGCCTCACGTACTTGGAGACCTTCTGTTTAAAAATGCTGTGTAGGAATAATGCAGTATTATGTGCTATTAAAAGCGGAAAAAGATGGATCTTGTATGACAGATCTACAAAAAATACTGCTAGCTCTGTGAGAAAAAAAGGCTCCGGAAAACTAAGGAGGAGTCCGCAGGATAAGCACTGGAGGAGGAAAAATTCTCTCCCGAGTCACCGAAGGTGACTTTAGTGCCAACAGGGGCAGAGATTGTTTTGATGCATTTTAAAAATAAAAAGTCAGCGTAACAAACGCTTCCCAGTGAGGTCACAAGGAACAGCAAGGCTAGGACAAAATCACAAATACCCCATGTTTTTTGGCCAAGGCAAGGACAGTATTCTTTATGGTGTCCGTAGGTATCACAAGAGAGTTGTTTCCATCCAGGTACTCCTGAGCAGAGGTCAGCCGGAGATGCGTGCACACTTCCACTTCTTTCACGAAGTGCTTCTTCCCCTCTCTGTGAAGGCGAAGGAACTTAATGGTGTTCTTGCCGTATTCGCAGTTGAGGACCTCCACGTCCTTGATCTGCAGAGAAAATAGGTGGTCGTTGTAAAGGAACTCAGTGGCACAAAGCCTGAGTCGATGAAATGTGAACAACAGTTATGGCCTTTTTGTCTGTGGTGACCAGTGATAATGGAAACATTTCCATTTTAAATTGCAAAGCCCTGAGGGGAAGGAAAAGCACTTCAGGAAGCCCTTGTTACTAGAAGGATTAGAATTGTAAAATTTGGTGGGGGGCAGATCATACAACATGAGTAACAGTGAACAAGTCTCTCTTGTTTGTCGTCTTTGGAGTAGTCCTGGCTCTTCACCGAGCCTCCCCTCCACCACCCCCTTGTGAACCCAGAGCGCCCCGGTGCATTCGGTCAGGGCAGTGCCTCTCTCTTGTTTGTCGTCTTTGGAGTAGTCCTGACCCTTCACCGAGCCTCCCCTCCGCCACCCCCTTGTGAACCCAGAGCGCCCCAGTGCATTCGGTCAGGGCAGTGCCCGGTGCAGAGGGCCGGCAGCGCTCCTCCCCACAGCCACCCCACCGGGGCTGGCTCTGCCAGGCTGGGCTGCACCTCTCTCCACACGGCTCCCCATCTGCCCCGGGACCAAGAGCAGACTCTCCCCACCTCCTGCTCCTCCGGCTCCGCGCGTGTGACGCACCGAGCCCTCTCCGTTTCCACGCAGAAGCTGGCAAAGCGCGGTCAGCGTCCTGCACGGCAGAGCCCCCCGCTCAGCAAGCACCCCGTGTTCCCAGGGCTGCCCCCCGTCACGCACGCAGGGGGACTCGCTGCTCCAAGGCGGTGAGTATGGAAGCGGGAAGGGGCGGGAAGGTTGCTCTGTAAGCAGGCAGAAGCCCCAAACAGAAAATGGAAAACGCTGGCACGTTCTCAGCGTGGCGCGTGTTTTATTACCCCCGCTACGCGCATCGCGACTCCCGCGAGCAAGAGGAGAAGACAGACCGAGCTGGGCTGGTTGGAAGTGTTTCCTCACACCTCTGCTACGGTTCTGATCTCCCCCAAAAGGGATCAGAAGCAAGCCTGAGCAGCAAAATTCAGGTCTCGATCCACACCTCCAAAATCCTGTCTTTTGGGGATCGTTGGGCTTGTTTGCGCTGAGCCCCGTTCATTTTATCCTGCTTCTGTCTGCCAGCAGAAGAGGCAGCACAGCACAGCGGCGGAGAGGCTGTGTTAGAAAGGAGGCAAAGTGCTGCGAAGGTTGTGAGGGTTTCCGTTACGCTAAAATATCCAGAGCTCACTGCACTAGACTCTCCCTGAGGCTGGAATATCCCACGCTTGGTGTCAACGTCTTGTAACATAAAGCAGCACCTTTTAGCGTAAGCGTGGTGAGGAGGGAGAAAGGCCAGTTTTACACACCGAAACACAAATCGAAGCTTTTTACGTGCGAGTTGCTAAAAGATTATCAGATGTGAAGTCGCTGGATTCAGACGTGTTCGTTCCGAAGAGAAATGCTCACGCGCTTAGAAGCTAATTAAAAAACATAGGCACTAATTGTCAGTAAATCACCGTGGCTCAGCGATCAGAGCGTTTGCTCTGACTGACAGTCCCCGCGGGCTCAGCGCCCAGCGCCAGCGCCAGGACCGGGCAGGGCTCAGCGCTTCGCCAGCACCCGCGCTTCGCAAGAGCGGTGCGAAGGTTCTGCGCTCGCTGCCAGGGCCGGGTGGAGAAGTAGCGAGGTGGAAATGATTTCGTTTTGCATGTCTGAACGCTGAGGTTTGGGGGTTTTTTTTCAGACAGTTGTAAAAAAATTCGTGCTTCAGTCATGCAGCACTAAAAACAAAACAAAAAGGGTTTCGGTATCTGCAGCTTTTTTTTTTCCTTAAAGCTGAATACCTTGAATATTCTAAATAATCAAAATATTACCTCCTAGAATGCGAAGGTAGGTTTTCTCAAAAACGTGTGTCATTTTGCCGTTTGCCCAAAGAAACAACGAGCAGTTTCCAGCGGCTCCCGAGAGCCCTGGCCCTGCTGCCGACGGCTGTCCCTGCGGTGGGAACCCGCCGTCCCAGGGTGGCTCTGCCGGCCCGGGCTGTGCTTACTGCGCCCTACAGCAGGAGCTGACACTTAACGCGACACCACTTCTCCTTTTAGAGCCGGCTCGGCGCTCGCCCTGCGCGGCCAGGAAACCAAAATGCCCGCGGGATCTGCGTGGTGTCACCCGGCTTTGGTGCTGCTGCTGCTCTCCTCCGCGCCCCTGCGGGCAGCCGAGATTTCCTGCAGGAATGAAGACGGGGAGGCAGTCGATTGGTAAGTGAATTCCGTGCAGGGGAGAAACGCTGGGGGAGTAGATAACACTCGAGGTTAAACCGCCTGAAGTAGGTGGATGACGGCGAAGTCACGCGTAGCAATCACCGGCCGGATCCTGCTGGCCGGTGAGCGGCAGCTGAATTTTGCATTTGGAAAACCTCGGATGAGTGACCGAAATGCGATTGCGTTTCGCTGAACCACCCGCCCTGCTGCGTTATGACTAACTGCAAAGCAATCACCGCCTTCCGCAGCGCTCGCGTCTCACCATCAAAGGGAGCTCCACCTCTGTTCGGGTGCCAAGGCTGCGCTGGCCGGCGGCAGCCCCGGGGGCGCGCGGCTCGTTGGGCTGAGGGAACCAAGCCGAGCGGGGAAAACGGCCGTATCTCACCCTTGGCCTCGTCGCTCGTACCCTCGGACTTGTCCCCTCGCTGCTGTGGCTGAGGGGGAGCGGAGGCTGAGCCGCCCCCGGGGTGGGAAAGCGCCGTCTGGCTGAGGAGCAGAGGTCGCGTTACTGCTGGTACCATCCCGCTGCCAACAGCGAGCCCGAGTTCGGGTATTAAATGATTAATTGGATTAATGTGCTTTGAAGATGAAAGAGGCAAAGTATAATTACACAATATCCCGCCCGGGCTTAAAAAGTGAAACGAGGGCTCTTAAAAAAGAAGACGGAAGCCTCCCAAAGATAAATATCAACCCATTTCAAAAGAAAAGTGTCTTTCTGGTGGAACAGTGATCAGTTTGGGTACAAGCGATAAAGCAGTAGGTGCTATTCTTGCACACCCCGTCCCTTGCACGCGGAGCTGACCGCAGGGAAGGCAGGAGCTCCGCACGCCACGGGCAGGATGCTCAAGCAGGAGCATAAAGCCGGCTTTGCCCTGGATTGGCGGAACGTCAGCTGTCTGAGGGGCCGGGCCATCCCTGTGACTTGTCACCTTTGCCAAAGCCCTTCTGGGTAGTGTGATTTTTTTTTTCCAGGAATCAGACTCTTAGCTGGTGCAGCTACCCACCAACTTAAAGGTACGAGAACTTGTATTTCTCCGCAAACTGCAATTATTCCTTGCAGAATGAGCCTGTTTGTGCTAAAGCTAAAAAAACCCCAAAAACCCAGAACAAAACCCAACCAATCAAACAAAAAAAACCCCCACAAACCTAAAAGAAAGCAATTACCATCTGTTTCTTAAATGAACACAATTTTTGTATCCAAATTCTCTGAGAAATTCTTTGGAAGCTGTGGCCTGCAGTAATTCACCTGTGCCTTCGTGGGAATGCCAGCGACGTGGGACCCGTTCCCGATGGGACCTGGGGGGTCTGCACAGGCAACACCGTGTTCCCTTGGGCAAATTCAGTTTTTTTTCAGGGGGGATTTCCTTTCCGATGTGCCATGATCAAATGAAAGAGAAACTTGCCTGTCTGCAGGGGTCATTCTGGTGTATTGCCATGAAATAGCTTTTGCCTGGTTCTGGATTTGGCCGCTATGAGGCTGGTAGGAGAAGCAGAACTGAAACCGCTGAGAAAAGCTTCCTCTTAAGCAAAGGATGTCGATGCCCTTTAAACAAACGCAGCGCTGCAGGTTCGATACTCAGTTTAGCAAGAGCTTTATGCGAGTTCCTGCCATGCAGTGGTTTCATCTGGCAGCGTTCCGTAATTACTCGTTATTAGCATTCATGCACCCTTTCGTTTGCCACTAAACCGGAGGAATCGCTCGCCTTACCTGACCCGATCCCCAGCTGAGCCGGCAGCTCCCACCCACCCGCCGTGCCGGCGCTGGCCAAAGCCCCCCCCCGTGTTTTCATTCCGCTCCATCTCATCCCGCCATCTTCTCTGCACCTCGCCCGGGGGCTCCCGGAGCGAATGTCCGGAGGATCAGCTCGCTAAGGAGGGCAGAGAGGCTTTCCTTTCTTCTTCCAAAGTCACGGTATTCCGTGGGAAGCTTTTCATGCAAATGAAAGCCAAAACTCTGCTTTCTGAGAAGTGCTGAGGCAAGGACTGAAGCCATGGGCGCATGTTGTTTGGATTTGGTTTTGTTTTATCAGGGACCCGGGGAGGAGAAGTGAAGATGTGATTAAGAAGCAAAGATTATTTGCAGTAAGTCAGCGTTCGGTCACAAGCAAACAACGTGATGGGGCGAAGCGGGTAGAAGCGGATTTGCTTTTCCTTGGGTCTCAGGAAAGCAACTTCCACTCTGCTCCCACAAATGTCCAAGCTCTTGAGAAACTTCCTGTGCACCGTGAAGACTTTTATACAACTTTAACTGCTAAGACACTCAGCTGGCTTTCCGGAAAGGGCCAGAACATGTATCCACTGGGAGCTGGCAGGCAGTTCCCCGATAGCTCCACTACTGGCGTTTCCGTAAGCATACCTGTGGATGTATGGGCTGCAAGGCTGTGAACGCCCCGGGAGCAGAAATCTTCCACTGCGCTTCCAAGCAGTTTGGAAAGGTTCCGTATACTAATTCCTGGATCAGCTCGTACTACTGCAACCACTGCTGTTCCTCTCCTTTCCGAATCTTCCTTTCAAATAAGGGGACTGTTGTGACTCCTCGCGCAAGGACGGCTCTGCCCACCCTTGCTACGTAGCTCACTTTCTTCTCTTCTCTGGGATCTACCAGCAGCAACAATTTCTCCGGAGGTATTTAAGGAACGTCACTCAGTCAGTCAGCAAGTGGATTACCAGGATCACCAGTGGTGTGGGTTTCTCTTCAGCCTGTACATCTGTTTCCCATGGATTAAATGTTCTGCTAGCAAAATGCTTTCCCAACACTTCTTACCTGCGTTTGGAGATGCCTTTTTTGGACCAACTTGAGCCTGTAAATCACCTGGGCAAGGCTTGCTCCTCCTGGTGTGCTCGAAGGGCTAAGCACAGTCAGGCGGCGTTTTTGGTAAATAGCACAGGATTGAAAATAACACCCCTCGGTCCTTCTGTTGACACAAATAACGAATCACTCCAGTACGGCGCTCAAAGAAAGTGGCTCAATTCATTGTATTGCAATGAATCCCTTGGACTTGTGCTCTGGGAAAACCAGTTTACTTCATCAGGGACGTTAATATGAGCTGAGCCATTTACTGACAATATCGAGTACTCTACAATTTTGAAAAGATTGTTGCTTCTGGCTAATGGTTTGCAAATACCCCGTCGGCAACAGTTCAGCAGAGTGCGAGTCTGTTATGAAAAGTAGGATTGGAACCACCTTATCACATGGCTTTATACTTGTTTTGTGGTTTTAATGTGCATAAATATAACATGCATTTTTGTAACTTTACTATGTAACTTTATTTCACATGAAGTTATATTTAGATGGCATAGAAATGTATCGGTAAGAGGTGTCCAGGTTTACCATGAGAATGTCAGGCTGAGTCTGGGACCTGAGGTTCTCCACCAGAACCAGGAGCAAAGGGCTCTGGTGGCTAAACGGGACTCCAAACCAGGGCTACCTCAAATTCTTTGGGGCTACCAAGAGCAGGAGATTCTGATTTACATGTTCAAAGAGGGCGGCTGTAAAAAAAGACAACTGCTCTTCCCCCTTGCAGGTTTGCTCTTTACAAGCTGCCGAAACATGCCAAAGGCGAGATTCCCATGCTGGGGCTGGAATATATGTACATGGATGCCCTGGCTCCGCAGTGGCAGCTCGGTAAATACCTCATCAACACGACACAGAGTGCTCT